AATAAATAATCTATGATCTATACAATGGTCTTATCACTTATTAAATAGCAGAAGAACCAAACTGGTGTTTTCGATTGGTTAAGCATTTAACCAGTCTACGCATTTCGCATATCAATTGAGACGTGCATGGTGTATTGAAAAACCTTCAATTTTGGGAAGATAAAGTGCATTATATTCAGAACTGTTGCATTGGTTTATCACTATCAATAACACGTAGACCACTTACAAGCCTGATACTTATGAATATCGAAACAGTTTCTTCATAGTGATGAATTTTCTGTCTCGTCAATCGTAAAACGTTATTCACCAATGCAATCACTGTAAAATAATAAAACGAAATAATATACACGGCAAAAATTTCTAAACAGGCACGATTATATCTAGGGGAATTTAACTCTTACGAGTTCAGCATGTTTTTTGCCAGTTTGCTTGATTCGCGGGAGTTCGACGCGTTCCTTGTACGTACTGACGCGCACGGTCACAAGTTTACACAAGTTTGTTTATGGTTTTGCGCGTTTTTCAAGTTGTTATTTGACAATTAAAACGCGTTTCAAGCTAAAAATCGGTTGTTTACGTGTATAAAGATTTTTCACATCCTTTCCAAAAGTTCAAAGATTTATATAATTATAAAATGGACAAAGGAAATATTTTTAAAGAGCTGGAGAAAGTGTTGGAAGAAAAAGTTAATCCAGATAGATATAACAAATGGAACGACTGATGTGTGCGCGTCGTCCAGCTTCATGTTTGCACACGAACTCGCACAAGTTCGCGCATGTTGTTTTAATACGGAACTTGTCAACTGAGTGGAATCATGCAAGTTCTCTGGTGAATGTAACAATTTCGTGCGCGTTTATATCATTTTTTTACAAGTTTTCACGTAGTTAAATCCCCCTAGGATTATATATTATTTCAGAACATTCCGTCCAATCTTTTGCACTTATTTTTGATTACATCCTTTCAATTATTTTTGAACTCGAAGTTTCTGCGAAGAGAGTTCTACGGATCCGATTTAAGTTGATTTTAAATTGAATTCGTTTTCACCATTCCATCTTGATTTTTGAAACGGCCGTTAAAAGGTCGTATTCTCTTTCCCAATAACAAACAAATTTGATAGCACTATATGTGCTAATGTAGAATAGATTTTTATATTGAAGTTCAATTGCATTTATCCATGAATTCCAACATAATTGGCTTACGTTTTCCTAGTGTTGCGAATGAGATTGATCGATATCATCCACACTTATTTCAGATTGTCTTGTTTCGATGTAATGCTGAAATGATATCATTCTGAAGATTTGTTGTTCAGATCAACGTAAGTGAGGATTGACTTTGACGGTGCATGACGTGTATCGTGTGGTAAAAATTTTCTTAGATAATATATTAATCATAACAACTCGGTATAGAAACTGAACGTTATGAAAAAGTGTATTTGGTTTGTATTCAACTGCATGAAGCCGCAAGTAGGGAGAGGCCGATGCATAATGAATCATAAAAACAATCTTCAAAAACCGTAGAATTACTGTGATGATCTCATCGTTGTCACTAATCGTTTCGTTTATGCTAGTATGTGATGACGCTATCTAAAAGAGAAAATGAAAGAAAGAACATGTTCAACCGAACAATTTTTGTAAACAAAAACGATTTCGTATGTTTAAACTATAAAATAATCCCGAAAACACGGACTGAACGTAGGCTAGAAATGCTTTTTTTCATGTGGCATCCGGGAAGTTACGGATATTTGTACATGCAATGGCTTAATTCAGTTCGACTTTTTTATATTTCACCACTAGATTTCTCTAGATATTCTCAGCGTTAGGGCCAAAAATGTGTCTAATCTTGGTATATATTTTTGATTCTCATAATTATTACAATTCAATCAAATAGTAAGAAATATTTTTGTCAAATATATGGTTTCGCGCACATTCTTGTTCGTTACTGAACAACCGTCTGATGTAGACTTATTGTGTAAAATACAAAAAGAAAGAGAACACCTCGCCGAATACAAATGCCCTTTAGAACAATGTGATAATTATATATAGGCGTTTGAATATTATGTGCCTTTCTGCAGTTTTATACACTAGAGGGTTAATAGATATCTATCGAATGACAGTTACGGAAATGCATTCATTCGCTGGAATTTTTGATCAGAATTCGAATTTTTACAATTTGACAGAAAACTGAATTGATTGCACTCATTGATATCATTTGTATCATTGATATATTGACGTCATTTAATGTCAATGTCAATATTAATATGTTGTTACATACTTTAAATAAGTACTTGCACTTGTTCGAAAATTCGATGTCATGACATGAGTGCAGAGCAATACAAACAAGACCGCAGATCGTCGCTTCGCTCCTCTCTGCGTTCTTTATGTTATTTAAAATTGAGTGTTTAAATTAATTTGATGTTCCCATCAAATTATTCATCGAAGCACTACATGGAATGTAGTTTCAATCGAAGCATACATTTCTTTATTTTATGAAAATTATTAGAATTAATATCAAGTATGTTCAATTCGGACTCTATTTTTTCTGAAGATGTTAAAATCTAAGGTGGAAATTGTTAATTTACGTAATTCATTCAAGAAGGGAAAAATGAAAGTTCAAGTACCAATAAAACAAAAATTATTAATAATATTGATATTATAAATAATAATAAATCAATCAATTGAATAAAATTATAATTCTATATATTATATTGTAATCTTTAATAATGAGTTTTATGTACGTTCAATGTGAACGTGGATTGTACATTATTTCACATTGGTAATTAAAATGATGTGAATTTTTTTTTCTGAGTTATCTCAAAAGAGAATTACGTGTACATGATTTTATTTCATTTTTGTAATTAGGCGTAATTGGTTCATTTCAAATTAGAACTTTGGATAGAAAAAAGAATTAATTTTCGGTCCAAAAAAGTGGCCTAAAGAGTCTTAAAATTTTCTCGAGAAAAAAAAACAATTACAATAGCCTATATTCCATGTATACTACATTCCATGTAGTGCTAAAAATACAAGTGTTATATCATGTCAGTAGACATCGATGATGACGGCTGATGCCATGTCACATCACAACGTATCAGTTTCAAAATATTCTCTCACTCTTTCCACCATTCCTATTTTCGCTCATGTGCGTTTCATTTTAAAATACAAATTATTACTTTTGGTGTGTACACAATGTACATTACTGCACTGAAATTTTGTGTTGACTGGTTCAAAAGTGTCCCAGTGCTATTGTTATAGAGTTGGACGAGAGGCCAACAAGTGCAGAACTCACGTAATTAGCATACTATTGTATACTTGACGTACAAGATGGTTAGTTTTTTTTGCTATGTCAGCTCAAGGTATCAATCAAATGACAAATTTAATTGTAACAATGAGATGGAAAGCGTGTCCCAATTAGTCTTCATTCCAAATGAAGCTGTTGATCAAATTCATAAAGGAAAAAACCTTTGAATGTTTTAAAAAAAAAGAAGGAATTTATTTATTCAAACGTATTCCTTCTTCATATAAAACCGAACATTAAGATGGAATTCGTTTCAAACTCTCTCCTCTTGAACTTACACAGTTTTATTCCAGATCATTTGCAAATCATATTATATAATTTCAAAGTGCAAAATTCAATGTTTTTTCTAAAGATCTAAAGCAACTGTACCGCGTAATATCATGCCCAAAATGAACAATTATGTCCATCAACACTTTCAATCGGATTTAATATCACGTGAATAGAACAATTACGTCAGAAGTGATCGCATCACGACGCGAAACGTTTTGATGCGATTAAATGGTCAAAGTCGTCTGACATTCACTAGATTAATCATAGTCAATTTTTTCTGAAGATGTGACTACGCTATGTTACGACCGATTCCAATGACCAATTTCAACGATAGCAATGCTAATGTCTTATTTTTCGTAGGTTCAAAATTTTGATCATTAGAATATATGTAAAGGGTGTTTTTTTTGGTGCGTCACATCTTCCGATAGGGATAATTGTCATCATGAGCATTCAACTATAAAATCCAATTGGACTTTTTTGTTCAGTATTCTTTGACAATTCATCATGGATAGGCTATCGCTCGATCAACGATACCAAATTGTGAAAATTTTCTTCAAAAACAATGGCTAAATTCGCGAAACTTACAGAAAACTGCGTAGTGTTTTTGGCCTTCATCAACGCCCAACCGAACGTTCCATTCGCCTACTTATGGATAAATTTCGCACCGAATACACTTTGCTTGACCTTGAGCCATCGTCACGTGATAAAACTGTGCGTACAGAAGCAACCATCAATGCCGTAGACGAGAGTGTGTCCGAAGACCCGAAGAACAAGTGCGTTCCTTAAGTGAGCGCGTTCACGCCGTGTCAGCAGGTTTTGGACGAATTTCACGCACTGAAAAAAACACCGTTTATATATGAGATATAGCCGTTACTCAAACACATTCAATACAAATTTCGAATTCGATATTGAGTACAGACACTGTATTAAACATTTTCATAGTCTCGTCAACTTACCACAGGCAGCATATATGCTGAGCCTACGTAGGCAAGCATAGACGCTTGCGATCAGTGCGCGACACACAACAACGACGAAATGCGGCAAGATTGTACGCATGTATTAACAATGCTGTGTTGTTCGCATGTGTCGCGGCCTGCTTGCTGTATGCATGAACAACGAGGACGACGACAACGTCGACGAGTGTGTACATGTATACGCTTGCTCGCACGTCGACGGTGTTGAATGTGTTTGTGTGTTTGTGTGTTTGAAGAGATGTTGTTTGTCGTTATTGTGATTTCCATCAAAAATACAAATCGAGTTGCAATGCAAAACAGAAAAATAAGAACATTTACATTTTTTTAATAAACACCAATGTATTTTTTTTCTTCGTAAAAACTTAAATGAAATGACATATAATTTTTTTCTTTCGAAGTGCGTTCATAACAAGTATTTTAAAGGAACGGAAATATTTTCCATTCTTATCACTTTCTTGTGTGTATTTTGTTTATTTACACCAACGGTTTTCATTTAAATTGCGCAGCCAGTTCGTCGCAGCACACTTTGATGAGCTCGTGCAAAGATTTCATGCGATCGTTTTCGACTTCGCCTTCGCATCTGATGCGGAACAAATCTGAAAAAGGAGAAAAAAGAATGAATGAAACCTCACATTGAATCACATTTCAATAATCGCATTTTAGTTAGAATTTGAATCAATAGCGTACCATGTATGAATTCACCGACAAATGGATCCAAAATGGAGTTTTTACTTTTGTCGATTCCATTGCAGGCAACCAGCAAAACTTTCACGAATTTCTTGTCGTAGTCGACCGAGCTCCGAAATCCACCCATGTTAAATCCTTTTAGACCTTTGACAACGCGAATTGGCATCGACAATTGCTTCCATTTGCCACCCATGTATACGATGTAGGCTCTGTCTCCGGCATCCTTAATACAGAATGGAATAAAATGAAATTAATTTCTTTTAATACCGAAAATTTTGCAGTTTATCAAATTGATTCGAAATTATTTAAATTGCTTACATTGGTAGCATACGGAAGATTGCCTGATATGATGTCATGTTGCTTGACTTCATACGGATTTCGAACGGCGAATGGCAGGGGCATCAAATCCGCTGATTTGGAATGAATCATAACGTCACCAGAATCATCACACAATTCAAAACTTTCATTCAAAACGTCATCAACTGCTTTTGCACTGTCTTCGAGCAAATGAACGAACACTGGCTCGGGTTTGATTGATGCATTTGCTTCTGATACGGCACTGTTTGATGTGGTTGGCGTGGCATCGTCAGTTGGAATCGGATTCATGGTGGCCATGTTAATTTCGATTGGCACATCTCGATTCGGTGATGCTTCATTTTGATTCGGTAGTGCTTCGACACCTTGTTGTGCACCAATTAATTCCTGTTGCTCACAATTTGATTGTGAGGCAAAATCATGATCGAATGTTTGCTCCATTTCGGGCTGGCTCTGGTTTGTTTGTATGTTCGTTTCGTCGATCAAATTGTTTACGTTCACTAACGGGTCGACAGATGAATTTTGTGCGATTTCTTCTTCTCCATCGGATCGATGTGAATCATTTGCAATTGCTGGTTCTTCAGTGAGCGATACCGATGAAATATTCAAATTTGATGGCTGTTCACCTTCGGCAATCGATCCATCATCGTTATCATCGTCAGATTGCGGTTGTTGTTGTTGTTCGTCCTCGACGATCGAACGTTCGTCATCAGATTGTTGTTGTTGTTGCTGAATGTTCGGCTCCAAAACCAACAACGGCAATGGTGGTTCGCGCAAACGTGCTGAATTATAAACACCAGGGCAAATTCGGCGACGACTTTCCTTAATTTTTTTTGCTTCTTCGAAATCATCTTGAAAAAAATGATGTTTGAGCACATTGCGGAGAAAAAAATTTCTGATTTTGATTAATACTCACCGGTGTAATAAATTGTGCGGCCATGAAACCAAGCACCAGCTTGAGCCGGCCAATTTTCCGACACAGTAGCGTTTATATCTGGATCGGGATAATGCTCACCCTCGATGCATTCCTCAGACCAATAAATCAATTGATCACGACTTGGATTTTTGCCGTAATTTTTCAGTGCTTTGAGGTTGAACCCATAAATATATTTTTCCGGAATGATAATGTGCCGACGCACTTTTGTCAAATACACAACAACCAAATCCATTTTTTATTTTCCACCCGTTTGTACTTTTCTTAATTTACGAAGTAATAATTTTGTGAGATTTATAAAAAATTTACTGCGTGTTTAATGTTATGATGACTTTGACCAACAGAATGGAATCAAAGCGTAATTATGACTTTAACGATGCGTTCACTGAAATAATATTATAGAAAGTGCGCGAAAGTTTTGCGGATAGAACATTCGAGACGCTTGGCATTAACACGATTTATTGGTTGTATTGACAAACGAAGTTTGTTACACATTTTGTTATACTTGATAGAAAGAGATGCAACCATAGCATCGATCAACGGCGACCACTGTGTAAGTGGCGCGTGAGAGAATGTATTTGTGTGAAATGCCCTTTTATGGAATAGAAATATAGCGCTTCTGTTTTCTCCACTTGTTGCGGCTGGCTCGTGTCGATTGTTTATTTTTTTTAACCAATCACAGTCGAACCGCAAAGTCATGGCCAAAGCATTTGAAATGTAGCCGTAATGTTACATCAACTACCAACAACACAAACCGAAATTTGCGATTATAAATCGGGCGGAACATAAACCGAACATTTGCTTTGTATATCAAGTTGAAAAGTATTTAGTGTGCAGAAAATAGTCAAAATAATTGTGAAAGACCTGAGAAATGGATGCCATTTCTAACACAAAACAGCCAAATACTCAATGCAGCAGAGCCTTGAATTTTTATACTGTTATCGATGCGGAAGCAAAAAAATATCGCTGCAATATTTGTAAAAAAGAATTGAGTGGATGCAAACCATTTAACTTGGTTCAGCATTTCAAATATCGTGGCGATCACAGGGACACTTATGTGAATAAAATTTTAGTCGGCGATGACGAAAATGTGTTGGTTCTACGAGAAAAATTTATGCATAGTGCCGTTGAACTTGTGACCATAAACAGTGAGCCGTTTGCTTTACTAACGAAATCGGGGTTCATAAATGGCCATAGATCGCAATTGGACAAATTCAAAGCTGCCAAATGTCCAGTCAATTTATCCGATAATCATGTTATTGAAGTCAAGGAAAAAGTGTGCACAACAGCTAAGCAAATTAAGGAGCTAATCAAATCCGAAGTACATCGCAAAATCGTTTCCGTCATGGTTGATTCAGCCACTCGAAATGGTCGTTCCATTTATGGCATCAGTATTCAGTATAAGCACAACGGTGTGCATAAGGTCGTTGCACTTGGCATGCGTGAACTGAAGAAGTCACACACAGCAAAATATTTGGCTGACGTTTTATTGGAAATTTTGGCCGAATATGAAATTTTGTTGAAGCAAATAATTTCCATTACCACCGACAATGGCAGCAACATGCTTGCGATGGTAAAAGAAGTAGAGCGCATATTGTTGCAACAACAGGACGACATCGACTCACAGGCGCCTGGATGTGAAGGAGAGCAGCCAAACGACCAAATGCAAATAATACAACGTAACCAAAATGATGGAAACATCGATGCTGAAATTGATGAATTATTAACAAATTCAATTGATGACAATGTTCTCGATGAACTGTTAGAAGACGTGGATATTTACAAAGTTCTGTTTGACAGATTTGTTTCTAATCTACAGAACCAAACAGGCAATCACTCACTTTTTGTGAACTCAATCAAATGCGCTGCACACACTATACAGCTAGCTGTTCGAGACGCATTGCAAATGATATCTAAACGTGATCGAAATGTTATCGAATTGTCTAGAATGGTGGCCAAATTTTTGCGAAAAGAAACCACCAAGAATGAAATGCGTGAGAAGGGAATTACATCGATACTGCCAGGCTTGGATGTAAAAACGAGATGGAGCTCGACGTATCTTATGGTAAAAATAAATAATTGAATCTATAATTTTTTCACTGAACCTAATGCCTGCCTTTGTTCATTGATTGTATCTAGATTCGCAGCATATTGAAATGTAAACATGTCATCGAACATTTTTCACCAAATGAACGGCCTCTGAATCTGCTGCTTAAAAAGTGGCACATTATGGAAGAGATTAACAACATATTACATTTGCCATATTTGACAACTGTAATGCTGCAGAAAAAGGATTACACTTTGTCCGACTTTTATGGCATGCTTCAAATCATGAATATGAAATTAAATAAAATCATAAGCGGCCCAGAAGATAGTTACACAACATTAGCTGTTAACTTACAGACCTGTTTAAATAATCGAAAAATTCCATTGATTGCAAATCCGCTCATGCGATGCGCTATGTTTCTCGATCCTCGGTTCAAACTGGACATCGATGCGAATACCGAACTACGAATTTTTACAAAATTGACTCTGCAAAACGTTTGGCAGCGAATAAAATCCGTTAAAAACGACGAACGAGTTGAAGTGGTGAGCCAAAGTACAATGCCAAGCAAATCGATGGATAGCATGCGTGAATTATTCGATGAACTCGATGAAGAATATGATCAAATGCATTCATCAAATGCCGACTTTTCGAGAGACAAAATCGACATTTCCGAAGCCATCGATAAATATGAACAATTTGTGTCAGGGCAACGAATGAAAAGCGGCAGTTCAATTCATGAATTTTGGGAGGTAAACAAATCGACTTTTGGCGCTGAACTGTATGAAATTGCTTCTATAATATTCGCCATACCGCCAACACAGTCTTCGGTGGAACGCTACTTTTCAGCACTCAAATATTTATTTGAGGAACATCGGTGTAATTTAGGAGAAAATTTATTAGAATGTTGTTTGTTAGTGCACTTGAATCCAGATTTTTACGAAATAGTAAAACAAAAAGACATTGAAAAGGCTGCAATGAACGTACATAGTTGTTGAATTGAATTCTTAGATGAAAAATGTAGAAATTACTCGTGAACACATTCATACGGAAAAATCCAAATAACAAATCTGTAACTACATTTAAGGAAAAAATAAAATTCAATTGGTGTTTATGAAAAAAAATGTAAATTTTCTTCTTTTTCTATTTTGCATTGCAACTTGATTTGTATTTTTGATGGAAGACATAATAACGACAAACAACATCTCTTCAAACACACAAACACATTCAACACCGTCATCGTGCGAGCAAGCGTATACATGTACACACTCGTCGACGTTGTCGTCGTCCTCGTTGTTCATACATACAGCAAGCAGGCCGCGACACATGCGAACAACACAGCATTGTTAATACATGCGTACAATCTTGCCGCATTTCGTCGTTGTTGTGTGTCACGCACTGATCGCAAGCGTCTATGCTTGCCTACGTAGGCTCAGCATAT